GGTCCCAGCTACTTGGGAGGCTGAGGCAGGAGACTCGCTTGAGCCCAGGAGTTGGAGATTGCTGTGAGCAGTGAAGCCATGGCACTCTACCCAGGGGGACAGCTTGAGGCTCTGTCTCAAAAAAAAAAAGAAAAAAAATCCTAACATTCACATGGAATCAAAAAAGAACTTGCATAGCCAAAGCAATTATAGGCAAAAATAATAAATAAATAAAGCTGGAGGCATCGTATTACCTGACTTCAAATTATACTACAAGGCTCTAATAACCCAAATAGCATAGTACTGATATAAAGACACACAGAACAAAGGAACTGAAAAGAGAACCCAGAAATAAAGCCACATACCTACAGCTAACTGATCTTTGACAAAGTCAACAATAACATATTTGGGGGAAAGGACAGCCTTTTCTTTATTTTTTTTTTTAAGGATAGCCTTTTCAATAATTGAAAAGGAAATCTGAATAGCCAGCAGGAGACTGTAGTCCCAGCTACTTAGGAGGCTAAGGCAAGAGGATCACTTGAGCCCAGGAGAAAATGGACCCACATTGGTCACCATATATAAAAATTAACGCAAGCTAGATTAAGAACTTAAATGTAAGACCTGAAACTATAAAGCTTCTAGAAGACTATCTCTCCCTTCTTACCTGTCTTAAAAAAAAGAAATTCTAGGCTTGAGGCCCGTAACACAATGGTTACAGCGCCAGCCACATAAACCCAGGCTGGTGGGTTCAAACTAAACCCAGGCCAGCTAAACAACAATGACAACTACAACAAAAAATAGCCGGGCATTGTGGTCAGCACCTGTAGTCCCAGCTACGTGAGAGGCTGAGGCAAGACAATCACTTAAGCCCAAGAGTTTGAGGTTGCTGTGAGCTATGAGGCCATAGCACTCTACTGAGGGGAAAAAAGTAAAACACTGTCTCAAAAAAAAAAAAAAAAAAAAATTCTGTAAGAAAACTTAGGAAAAACTCTCTGGACATTGGCCTAAGCAAAAAATTTATGAATAAGACCTCAAAAGCTGGGGCAGCGCCTGTGGCTCAGTGAGTAGAGCGCTGATCCCATATATGGAGGGTGGCAGGTTCGAACCTGGCCCCAGCCAAACTGCAGCAACAACAAAAAAAAAGCCAGGTTTTGTGGCGGGTGCCTATAGTCCCAGCTATTCAAGAGGCTGAGGCAAGAGAATAGCCTAAGCCCAAGAGCTGGAGGTTGCTGTGAGCTACGATGCCGCAGCACTCTACCCAGGGCGACAGAGTAAGACTCTGTCTCTTAAAAAAAAAAAAGACCTCAAAAGCAAATGCCAACAAAAAGAGAAATAGACAACAGGGACTTGATTAAACTAATTAAAAACCTGCACAGTAAAAGAAATAACCAACAGAGTCAACAGACAAACTACAGAATGGAAGAAAATGCATCCGACAAAAAACTAGTATTCAGAATCTGCAAGGAACTCAACAAGACAAATAACCCCATTAAAAAGTAAGCAAAGATATGACAAATATTTAAGACATATGAATGGCCAATAAGTATATGAAAAATGCTCTATATCACTAATCATTTGCAACTACTATTTTGAATTAAATTTGTAAATTAAACCCATAATTAGATAGCATCTACTACCAATCAAATGGCTATTACTAAGAATTCAAAAAATAACAGATGTTGCAGAGGATGCAAAGAGAATGCCTATACACTATTAGTGGGAATGTAAATTATTATAACCTCTATGCAAAACATTATGAAGATTTCTCAAAGAACTGAAAATTGAGTTATCATTCAATCCAGCAATCCCACTACTGGTTATCTTTCCTTTCCTTATCTGCAAAGGAAAAGAAGTCATTATATCAAAAAGATCCCTGAACTCTTGTCTATCACAGTACTAGTCACAATAGCAAAGATATAATATCAACCTAAGTGTCTATCAACAGATGCCAGATACAGAAAATGTAGTGATGGGGACTCAGTGCCCATAGCACAGTGGTTATGGTGCCAGCCACATACACCGAGGGTGGCAGGTTCAAACACGGCCTGGGCCATCTAAACAACTGCAACAAAAAATAGCCGGGCGTTGTGGCAGGCACCTGTAGTACCAGCTACTTGGGAGGCTAAGGCAAGAGACTCACTTAAGCCCAAGGGTTTGAGGTTGGTGTAAGCTCTGATGCCATGGCACTCTACCAAGGCCAACATAGTGAGACTGTCTCAAAAATTTTAAAAAAAGAAAGAAAATGTAGTAATAGGATACTACTCAGCCATAAAAACGAATCATGTCTTTTACAGCAACATGGATGCAATTGGAAGACATTATCTTAAGTAAAATAACCAAGAAACAGAAAGTCAAATACTATATATTCTCACATATAAGTGGGATCTAAATAATGTGTACACACGGTCATAGAGAAGAAGAGCAGACATTAGAGATTTTATGGGAGGGTAAGGTAAGCCAAAAAATTACTTATAGGTACAATGTACACTATCTGGGTGATTGTTACACTACAAGCCTAGACTTCACCACTATGCATTATAACCATTTAACAAAACTGCACCTGTATCCCCTTAATGTATTTTTTTAAAAGAATAGAAAAAAGTAGAAAGAATGCTTACAAAAGAGAGAAAGAACTCATCTATCTTTTTGACATCTCTGGATCTTTTAAAAAGTTATACAATTTAAAAGTCTACCAAAATATGTAAGTAACATTTTAGAAATTTTATTTGCAACTACTATTTTGAATTAGACTTGAGTCTAAAGATAAGGTGAAATTACTTTCATTGTGTCTAAACACTGTATTCAAATGTAGTACCATGGAAAGGTAATTAATTCAATCTGCAAAAAGTCTAGATATATTCTTCCATGAGTTCACTGTTTACACACAGGAGTAAATGAAGAATCTCAAACATTACTCCCATAGGACAATTCATAACTTAATACATCATTCCATTTCTATAGGTATTTATAGCAACTTTGAATTTCTTAAATTGAATAATTAAAACAAAAAACACCTTTGGGGGAGAATATGTAATTATTATTCTTAAATTATTTCTAAATTTCAACAATTCATATGTTTCTGACCAAGAAAATCTTAGAAATGTGTTTAATGTAAATGTAGTCTCACCCGTACCCCATTTTAGCCCTATAGCACATACCTCATTTTCTCTTCCAACAAGAGATCCAGCTGCAGAAGGCTGAATCATCTTCAGAGTTCTTCTTGGGACAGGACTATTCTAAAAGTCAAGATAATTCATTATCTGGCTACTGAGTTTCTATATAATTGTCTAATTACTGAATTTCTATATAGTTAGTCTTAGTCCTACTATAGTTTAGGGAAAAAAAGAAACACTAAGAACACTAATATTTGGTCTGCTAGATGATTTTACAATATTACATATGAACAAGACACCAGTTTGTTCAACTGACAAACTTATTTCCCAAAATTATAATAAAACTTGAAGAAATTCCTTTACAATGGATCATACCACTCAAATTAGATGTAAATGAGTAATGTCTCAATATATGTCCTTGCTGTGATTGTTCTGCCAATTAATCCCATCTAGTTAAAACAAACATAACCAAATTTCTCTGCTCTAAAAGTCCAAACCATATATGACAGGGTGGCACTATGGCTCCAAGGAGTAGGTCGCCAGCCCCATATACTGGAGGTGGAGAGTTCAAACTCAGGCCAAAAAACCCTGCAAACCATATATGACAAAATTATAGTATGACAGGAACATCTGTATTCTCTCTTTTCTATTCAGAAACTAGAAACTCAAAGGTATTCTACTTTCATAAATCCAAATATCACAGCATTTATAGTATGAACTCACAAAAAAGGTAAATTGGAGGAAAAAGGTTCTTTATTTACATTGCAAAATACCTCCCCCCAATCAAAAGAATTCATCTCAGACCTCCTTAAGTCACAAATATCCCCATATATCCTCACATGCTTTCACCAAAGGAATATAATTTTTAAGAACATAGGCTTGGCACCTGTAGCTCAAGCGGCTAAGGCACCAGCCACATACAGCAGAGCTGGCGGGTTCGATTCCAGCCCAGTCCTGCCAAACAACAATGACAACTACAACCAAAAAATAGCTGGGCATTGTGGTGGAAGCCTGTATTCCCAGCTACTCGGAGGCTGAGGCAAGAGAATCACTTAAGCCCAGGAATTGGAGGTTGCTGTGAGCTGTGATGCCACAGTACTCTACCCAGGGTGATAGCTTGAGGCTGTCTCAAAAAAAAAAGGAGAATTGCTTAAACCCAAGTGTTTAAGGTTGCTGTGTGGGCCATGGTACTCTACTGAGGGCAACATAGTGAGACTCTGTCTCAAAAAAAAAAAAAAAACTTTGCACAAAACCAAATGCAACTATAACAGACATCCCACCTCAGTGACTACCTGATAGTAGAAGCAGTTCTGCTTCAAGCCCATTCATGAAAAGACAGTTAAAATGTCAGTGATTGAGGCATACTATCTACTTTAAAATGCCCACGCTATTGTTTTCGGGAAAAAATAATGCCTTCTTTATAGTATGTAAATATCTTCCTGTACATTTCCTGATCTGAAAGCTCTGTTTTTGAAAAAAATCATTAGTTATACTGCCACCATGGGACAGCAAACAATGGTGAATACTCAAACAAGGTTAACCAGAACATGATACTATAGCAGCGTGAGAAAGTTACTGACTCCACACAGTACTTCACATGAGAAGAGTTCACCTTTCCCACGGTAAAGTTTCTACTGCTGATTATTATCTAACTATTTAACAGAAGGACAAATGCTGGCTACTGTGAGAACAAATATCATGGCAACCTTCCAGATATAATTTAGATTATAGATATAGTTAACAGTCTTCTGACAAACAGAAGAAAATATAACTTTGCAACCTTAATAACAAGAGGTGTTAATATACTATTTAAATATTTGTTAATAATGGCAAAAGAAGTTACCTAAGTTACAAAGTTACTATTGCGAAAAATAACCATTCCAAAATTTAACTTTTATAAGTGTAAGCTCTATAGCTTCCGGCCTAAAAAATAATATTACTGTTATTATTTTCTGTATATAGGTTATGTACTGGAATAACTTTTAGAGCTAGGAAGTTTTATAAATGGGTCTTTTCTTTTTTTTTTTTTTTTTTGAGACAGAGTCTCAAGCTCTCACCCTTGGTAGAATGCCATGGCATCATAGCTCCCAGTGATCCTCTTGCCTCAGTTTTTTCTATTTTTGGTAGAGAGGGGATCTGGAACTCCTGAGCTCAAGCAATCCATCCACCTCTATAATATGGGGCCCAAAGGTTGAGAACCGCTGTTCTAGACCAATCACCTCATTTTACAGATCAGTAAACTAAGGCTGAACCGACAACTAACCTCACTGAAGGTCTCAGTTTTAGAGGTAGAACCAAATAAAACCCAATGTCTTTTACATTGATGACAGTTTTGTATTGCTATTTTTTAGACAGAATCTTGCTGTCACCAGGAATAGAATACAGTAGTATCATTATAGCTCACTGCAGCCTCAACCTCCTGTGCTCAAGAGATCCTCCAGCTTCAGCCTCCCCAGTTTCCCAAGTAGCTGAGACTAAAGACATGTGTCACCATGTCCAGCTACATTTTTTCTTTTAGTTTTTTGTAAATACAAGGTCTCATTATGTTGCCCAGGCTGGTCTCGAACTTCTGGCCTCAAGAGATCCCCCCACCTCAGCGTTCCAAAAGTTACAGGCATGAACCACCACACCTGGCCTGAAGATAAGTGTAGTTTTATTGTAGCTAGTAAACATTAGACTTCTTTAAAAAAAAATGTAAAGATCTGCTGAAATTATGGCAGTGCCTGTGGCTCAGTGAGTATGGCACCAGCCCCATATACCAAGGGTGGTGGGTTCGAACCCAGCTCTGGCCAAACTGCAACAAAAAAAAGCCAGGCATTGTGGCAGGCGCTTGTAGTCCCAGCTACTCGGGAGGCTGAGGCAAAAGAATCGCCTAAATCCAGGAGTTGGAGGTTGCGATGAGCTGTGTGATACCACGGCACTCTACCACTGAGGGCGATAAAGTGAGACTCTGTCCCTACCGAGAAAAAAAAAGGTCTGCTGAAATTATGTAAATTATTAGGCTATGAATTGCTTCAGAATATTTAACTGAAAGGAGGGGTAAATGAGGATATAGATGAAACCAGATTGATCATATATTAATAGTTGTTGAAGCTAGGAGAGTAAACTATTAATCTACTATTGATTCTAGTTTTAAATATTTGAAAATCTTCCTAAGAAAAAAGTGAAATACACACAAACCCCAGTGGGACAATATCATTATGCTATATGGAAGGTGATAGAATCAAATCTGCAAATCATCAACATAGTCAAGAAAAAAACAATGTAACAAACCCTTAGAAAAACAAGGCAAACAAAAACTACCCACCAAAAGGTTCTTCCTGGGCGGTGCCTGTGGCTCAGTGAGCAGGGCACCAGCCCCATATACCAAGGGTGGTGGGTTCAAACCTGGCCCCAGCCAAACTGCAACAAAAAAATAGCCAGGTGTGGAGTGGCACATGTGGCTCAAAGGAGTAGGGCACCGGCCCCATATGACAGAGGTTCAAACCCAGCCCGAACCAAAAACTGGGGGGATGGGGGGCTGGAAAAAATAGCCAGGCACTGCGGTGGGCGCCTCTAGTCCCAGCTACTCGGCAAGAGAATCACCGAAGCCCAAGAGCTAGAGGTTGCTGTGAGCTGTGACACTACAGCACTCTACCAAGGGTGACAAAGTAAGACTCTGTCACTAAAAAAAAGAAAAAAAAAAAAAGTTCTTCCTTACACTTATCAATGGCTTTTATTTCCTGCACTTTATTTAAATCTGCAAATTGACAGATTTCCTTAAGATGTGGACCAATAAATTCCCAACATACTCATACAGTTTAAGTTGTGTGGTAGGACCTAGCTAAAAGTGTAAATTCATTTAGAAACATAAAAGTAGACCCAAAGTTACCAACTCAAAACTCTGTCCTACGGCCATAAGAACATCTGGAATAAGATTTCCAGTGAAGAGGGCCAAAGGCCCAGCATGGTGGCTCATGCCAGTAATCCCAACACTCTGGGAGGCCAAGGCCCCCCGAATCGCCTGAGCTTGTTAGTTCTAGACCAGCCTGAGCTACAGTGAGACCCCCACCTCTAAAAATAGCTGGGCATTGTGGCAGGCACCAGTAATTCTAGCTACTCAGGAAGCTGAGGCAAGAGAATGGCTTGAGCCCAGGAGGTTGAGATCTGAGGTTGCTGTGAGCCAAGACACCATGGCATTCTACCAGGGGCAACAAAGTGAAACTCTTTTTTTTTTTTTTTTTTTTGAGATAGTCTCACTATGTCGCCCTCAGTAGAGTGCTATGACATCACAGCTCACAGCAATGTTAAACTCTTGGGCTTAAGTGATTCTCTTGCCTCAGCCTCGCAAGTAGCTGGGACTACAGGTGCCTTCCACAACACCAGGCTGTTTTTGATTGGAGTTGTCATTGTTGTTTTAGCAGGTCCAGGTCAGGCTCCAACCCTCCAGCCTTGGTGTATACGGCCAGCACTCTACTCACTGAGCTACAAGCACCGAGCCCGAAACACTTTCTATAAAATAAAATTTTTTTAAATAATAAATTAAATTAAAATAAAGATTTCCAGTAAAGATTTTAATACAGGGATTCAAAAAGTGTTGCAAATCTGGGCAGCACCTGTGGCTCAGTGAGCAGGGCGTCGGCCCTATATACCGAGGGTGGTAGATTCAAACCCAGCCCTGGCCGAACTGCAACAAAAAATAGCCAGGCATTGTGATGGGTGCCTGTGGTCCCAGCTACTTGGGAGACTGAGGCAAGAGAATCACCTAACCCCAAGAGCTAGAGGTTTTTTAGAGACAGAGTCTCACTTACCTCACTACCCTCGGTAGAATGCTATGGCATCATAGCTCACCACAACCTCCAGCTCTTGAGCTTAGGCGATTCTCTTGCCTCAGCCTCCAGAGTAGCTGGGACCACAGGTGCCTGCTACAATGCCCGACTATTTTTTTTTAAGGGGGGAATCTGCAACTCAAGTTCATAGAAATTATAGGCAGGTAATTGGGCTAAATTATGTTAAAATACTTTTAACCACGTTTTCTACAAAAGATTAAAGTTACTCTATCACATACCTTTACATTTTCTTTCATTTCTTCTTGTTTGTGTTTCATACTGGGATTCATTACACAGCTCGTGAAACGCAAAAGACTAGAAATTAAGAAACAGAATACAGTTTACCCTGAAGGTGGAGTCTAGATTCTGTTGAAAGTACTTAAAACTAAGTATTTACAACTATAAAAATCAAACCATTGTATCACAGAACTATCATCTTTTCTTACTCAATCCAAACTTAGCCTGTCAATGACTAAGGGACTAAACAAAGTAACTTTTGATACCTATACACACATACACACATGATAATTAAGACTGAAAAAAATCATGTTACAAAAAGGAAATAATATATATTAAACAAATTTATAAAGCATAGTATCTTGGATTAAATTGAGGGTTCTGGAAGGTCTAAGAAATTGTCACCATGAAAAGCAAAACACTAGGCAGTGCCTGGTTCAGTGGGTAGGGTGCCCGCCCCATATACTGAGGGTGGAGGGCCAAACTGCAACAAAAAAAATAGCCTGGCTATTGTATATCGAAGCAGTACCCTGAACCCCATAAATGCATCAATGTACAATGTTATGATTTAATAAAAATTAATTAATTAAAAAAAAATAGCCCAGCATTGTGGCAGGCACCTGTAATCCCAGCTATGTACTTGGGAGGCTGAAGCAAAAGAATCGCCTAAGCCCAGGAGCTGGAGGCTGCTGTGAGCTGTGACACATGGCATTCTACCCAGGGTGATAATGTGAGACTCTGTCTCTAAAAAAAAAGAAGAAAAAAGAAAACAAAAACACAAAGATTCTTAGTTGTGCCAAGACTATTTTAAAGAATAGCATCCAGGCGGCACCTGTGGCTCAAAGGAGTGGGGTACTGGCCCCATATGCTGGAGGTGGAGGGTTCAAACCCAGCCCCAGCCAAAAACTGCAAAAAAAAAAAAAAAAAAAAAGAAAGAATAGCATCCTAACTTTGCAGTTTAAAGGTAGATATAAGGTATGATAAACTTGGCTCTGGCAATAACTTAATATCCAATCAAATGAGATCATGTATTTACATTTGTAGGAAATTTTTAGCCACTAACATGAACTGAAGGACTAACCAATAAGGTAAAGGGAGCAGGAGATAAAAGGATAGGTAATGTTGTTAACTAGACCACTGGGCCAGATTCACTCAAAACTCAACATCTGAACCCCTCAGCCGTGCCTTGCTAACAACACATACCCCTGATTTCTGTGCTCATGCCTTCAATCAGTGTATGGCTTTCAAATTTTGACTTAGACCCATTTCTTCTATCATTATATTTTACACTGCGCCCTAGCACACATGCAAATGGAAAAACTTAGGAAACAAAATGTAATCTAATTGTGTGTCGTGCATCCTATTTTTCCATTCTACTCATGTTAAGAAAATGCTGGTTGAGACCCGTGAAGCCCAGCCAGGAAAATGTTTTTAACACTTCGATCGTGGGCTGGGATCCCAAAATCATTTAGTAGGTCTTGAGCAACACAATTTAGAAAAACGCAACTTAAAATAATGTAAGAGACGAGAAAATATCAAAGTGCACTGCATGTCAGAAATAAATATTACTTCGTAAAACATCCGATTTCGTTAGGTGACTTCGCCCCAAACTGCGACATACCCATGTTTACCACACCTTTGTCAGCAACTTTGCACCTTTGCTTTTTATTGCTCACGGACAGGATCTAAAGGAAGAGGGGATGCACGAGCGAAATCACAGTGTCACCCACACCGGTTGTCTTTTTTTTAAAAAGAGATGCAGAATTCAGAGACCTTTACCCGTAAGCCACGTTTAAGGGCCACCTTAGATCACGATCACTTACTGAACAGGCAAAAGAATCCTGAAGTTCTGCCTGATCCCCACGGCCAGACGCAGTGTCCCGCAACTCAGGGGCAACCCCACCCGATAGGTCCCAGAAGACCAGTGCCCAGAGAGGGGGCGGGCGTTGTGGCCCGCCCGCCAGAGCCCACCAACCGCCCAATGCGCCTCAGGACAGCGTTCGCCAGCCAATAGGAGCGCGGAAGGGAGAGCGCGCCAAAACCGACTCAGCCAATGGGACAGCCTCACTTCCCAACCCCGCCCGGGCTCCCGCGACCGTTCATCAACCCCTAGCCTAGACCCTTTCTCGGCCGCCGCCCCACAACCGTCGTAGTACCCGGTCGCGGGTCGGCAGGACCGAAAGTGGACTGTCCAGAAGCTGTACACGTTGCGCTCCTGCGTACCCACCTCCTGCCACCTTTCTCACACTGGGTGGATATGCTCAAGTCTTCGTAGCGAAGGCAGGGAACTGTGGCACCTCACACAACACCCACAGACAACCTACGTTTGTCCCCACAGTACCTACAGTGCCGGTGCGCGCTGCTGTAAAACCTTACAAACTCCGTTCGTTCGCTCCCGCCGACCACGTGACCGTCTGACGCAAGAAAAGGGTGGTGCCCACCCGAATCCGACCAATCGACCCTCTCCTTTGCCCTCTTCGGCCCCGCCCCCTCCGCGCCTGCGCTTTAACACGTAGCGTGTGTCACCACGTAGCAAAGTGTTTTTCCCAGCCGAGGGTCTACGGTAGGCTTGCGTTCCCCCAACCCTCCTCTCGGAACTTTCTGCAACCCTGCTTTGAGAATTTCCTGGCAGAGTACAAAGCTTTTGCCCTTTACGAGCCAGGAAACAGATCTGTCCCCATTGGATGCTTACGCCGGGAGAAAAAAATCTTGTATATATAGTACACGATTTACATTTGTATAAAGCCCCGCTTCCGCGGACTCTTACTTTTAGTAAGCGTTTATAATATGGCTTTTTGGGGTTTTTTTTTAGAGACAGAGTCTCACTTTATTGCCCTCCGTACAGTGCTGTGAAGTCAAAGCTCACAGCAACCTCCAACTCTTGGGCTTAAGCGATTCTCTTGCCTCAGCCTCTCGAGTAGCTGGGACTACAGGCGCCCGCCACAACGCCCGGCTATTTGTTGCAGTTTGGCTGGGGCCGGGTTCGAACCCGCCACCCTCGGTATATGAGGCCGGCGCCCTACTCACTGAGCCACAGGCGCCACCCTAATCTGGCTTTTTCTACTTTTGACGGTGTGGTTCGGTTAGAGTTGTTCCGGAAGACGTAATTCTGCGATTAATCCTACTACTTTTTAAGAAAGACTTGGGTTTTTTTTCTTTTTTTTTTTTTTTGCTCAAGCTGGTCTCCAACTCCTAGTCTCAAGCAGTCCTCCTACCTCTGCCTCCAGGCAAAAGCCCCCATACTTTTTTTTTTTTTGAGACAAGACTCTCACTGTTTCCTCCTGTAGAGTGCAGTAGCGTCATAGCTCACAGCAACCTCAGACTCTTGAGCTGAAGCGGTACTGCCTCAGCCTCCCCAGTAGCTGAGACTACAGGCACCTGCCACGACGCCCGGCTATTTTTAGAGACAGGGTCTAGCTCTGGCTCAGGCTGGTCTCAAACTCCTGAGCTCAGTCAGTCCACCCACCTCGGCCTCCCAGAGTGCTAGGATTATAGGCCTGAGCCAAACTTTGTTTGTTTCTTTGTTTTGTTTGCAGTTTTTGGCCAGGGCTGGGTTTGAACCCACCACCTCTAGCATGTGGGTTCTGCGCCCTACTCCTTTGAGCCACAGGCACCACCCACTCTAAGTTAGAGTTAGTTAAACTCTAACTTTTAAATAAAGGGAAAGTTCAAGGGATAGAAAGGGAAGAAATTACCAGAACTACTGTGTGTCTCCAGGATCCTGCAATTAGTACAATGCAGTTCCACTGACAGTCTCTATGACCCTATGGTCCACATTTCAAAGGCCTGAGAAAGAGAATCTGATTATCTCGTCTTGAACCAAGAGGTTGAATAAGCTATGGCTGTAATGTGTATGTTCACAGGCGGAAGACAGTGCACTATCCTACAAACATGCTGTACCCCCACTTCCATCCCAGGTATAGGAGCTGTTACTAAAGAAGAAGGGATGGCTGCTACCCTAAGGGTCTCTTTCAGCGGTTAAAAAGCATAAAGGGGGCATGGAGGCTGAGGTCTGTAATCTTAACTCTCCGGAGGCCAAGGTGGGTGGATTGCCTGAGCTCAGGAGTTGGAGACCAGCCTGAGCAACAGCAAAACCCTTGCCTTACCAAAAATAGAAAAACTAGCCAGGCGTTGTGGTGGGTGCCTTTGGTCCCAGCAACTCAGAAGGCTAAGGCAAGAGAATCACTTGAGTCCAAGAGTTTGAGGCTGTGGGCTATGATGATACCATGGAACTCTACCCAAGGAGAGTGAGACTTTGTCACAAAAACAAAAAAAATAACAGTCACTACACTTGGAGGGAAGAAATTAAATGACTAAGAAAAAATCTTTGGCTGGGCACAGTGGCTCACACCTATACTCCTAACACTTTGGGATGCTGAGGCGGGAGGGATCCCTTGAGCTCAGGAGTTAAAAAGACTGGCTTGAGCAAGAGCCAGACCCTCATCTCCACTAAAAATAGAAAAATCAGCTGGGTGTTTTGGCAGGGGCCTGTAGTCCCAGCTACTCAAGAGGCTGAGGCAGAAGGATTGCCTGAATCTAGGAGTTTTAGATTGCTGTGAGCTAGGCTGATGCCATGGCACTCTAGCCTAGAGCAACAGAGTGAGACTCTGTCTCAAAAAAAAAAAAAAAAAAAGAAAAAGAAAAATTATAATGAGTAATTTTGCTGTATGTAAATCTTACCTTAAGAAAGATGGAAAATAATGTAACTGAGTTAATATAGGCAAGTCCCTGGGAAGGAATGCCTGGATGCTAAACATTAATAGATACACATACAGCTACCTAACTTTTGGAAGGCTAGAGCCTGACTTAATAGCCACCAAGTGAATGTGCTTCAGCAAATACCAAATCAGTGAGAAACCAGAGCTTGAGCTAAGGAAAAACTTCAAGTAGTCTAGAGCTTGAGAAAAATCAACAAGGTATTCACATCAGAGAGCCTGAAACCAAGGAAAGGCATCTTTGAAGCCAATTTTTTTTTAATCCTATCTTAACACATCTTTTATAAAGCATTTCAAATATGCTCTTTCACTTTAATTAGCACAAAAACTCAGCTAAGTGAACAATGTAAATATTATCTGTTTTCCATAGACACACTGGGCACAGGGCTGGTCCCAGGACATGTGCCAGCTATGGATTTATTGCCTTTCAGCTCCAAATTCACTGGCAAGTTCCAGGGGGGAGATTTCCCACAGGTTCCACTGACACAGCACCACATGGACTTCTCTGCCAATGCTAGCCCTCTCCAGTGGTGTCTGGATCTCAGACCTGGGGGAGGAAGAAACTCTTCCTTGGATGCTACATCTTAGCACCCAAGAAAGTAAAGTCAAGTCTAAAGACTATAATATAGGGATCAGCCACTACTCCTCCATCTAGTCCAAGGTATACACTCCCCAGAAGAGACCCAGACGTTTTTGGAAAGGGAGAACTGCAGCCACAGAACTTACTGGAAATCTTCCTCCTGGAACTAGGGTGCCAGAGGAGACTTCACCACAAGATGTCTCACCAGAGGCATTCTACAAAATTGCCTGAGGGGGACTGGGCACTGATGGATGCTGTGACTAGGAGACTGGTGCAGGAAAGGCCACCCGGCACTACATAAGACTAGCTAGGGAACTCACCAAGGGGAGTGAAGGGGAAACAAACCCCTTCTCCTGCAAATGTCTCTTCAGCGCCCTCTACTGACAACGCTTCAATGCCAGCCGCACATAAGGCTAGCTAGGGAACTCACCAAGGGGAGGGAAGGGGAAACAAACCCCTTCTCCTGCAAATGTCTCTCCAGCGCCCTCTACTGACAACGCTTCAATGCCAGCCGCACAGGAAAAAAAGTCCAGATTCACTTTCTTTTTCTTTCCTTTTTTTTTTTCTTTCCTTTTTCTTTTTGAAACAGTCACTCTCGCCCCGCTGTTGGCTCACGCTTGTACTCCTAACACTCTGGGAGGTAGAGGTGGAAGAATCCCTTGAGCTCAGGAGTTCAAGACCTGCTGAGCAAGAACAAGACCCCATCTCCGTTAAAAATAGAAAAAAAAAATTAGCTGGGTGTTGTGGCAGGCTCCTGTAGTCCCAGCTACTCTGGATGCTGAAGCAGGAGGATCACTTAAACTTAGCAGTCTAAAGTTGCTGTGAGGTAGGCTCTGTCTCAAAAAGAAAAACAAACAAAAAACCAGTCTCTCCCTGTCCACCAGCTAGAGTGCATGCAGTGGTGTCGTCATAGCTCACTGCAACAACAAACTCCTGGGCTCAAGCCATCCTCCTGGTTCAGCCTCACCAGTAGCTGGGACTATAGGTATGAACCACCAAGCCCAGTGAATTTTTCTATCTTTTTGTAGAGATGGTATCTAGCTCTTGCTCAGGCTCAGGCTGAGGCTCAGATTCACTTTCAAAGAGCAGGCCAACTGTGGAATTGAGAGGCAATAGATTGATAACTTTGCATAGGCATTGCTGATATTCAGGTTCAAACATTAGCTTTGTCACTTACTTGCATGTCTTTGGACAAGTTTCTAATTCACTTTGACTCCAGTTTTCTCTCTAAAATGAAAATAAAGTACAAATACAGTTCATAAAAAATATACATCTCACTTCAACATATGAAAAGATGTTTAACCTCATTACAAAAGAGAATTACAAATCAAAACAATATTGAAATATCATTTCTCACCTATTAGATTGCCAAAAATCCCTAACTTTGTATCAGGCAAGCTCAGGAGATGAGTTAACATTCCCCCCTCTCAGATAAAGAGCAGAATTGGCATAATGCAATGGTACATTTCAAAACTATTAAGAAAAGAGTATAGGCTCAGCACTTGTAGCTCAGCGGCTAGGGCACTGGCCACATACACTAGAGCTGGCAGTTTCGAATCCAGCCCAGGCCTGCCCAACAATGAAACTGCAACAAAAAAATAGCCAGGCCTTGTGGTGGGCACCTGTAGTCCCAGCTACTCAAGAGGCTGAGGCAAGAGTTTGGGCTTAAGCCCAAGAGTTGTAGGTTGCTGTCAGCTGTGACGCCACAGCACTCTCCCCAGGGCAACACAGTGAGACTGTTTCAAAAAAAGAAAGAAAAAAAGAGTATAATTGTCTAACCACAACAAATAAGTAAGCAAGGTTATGGATGTGTTAATCAGTTTGATGTAAGCATTTCACATTGTGTATCAAATCAGTACACTGAACCCCATAAATGCATCAATGTACACAGTTACGATTTAATAAAACTTAAAAAAAGAACAGAATTGCTTCAACTTACTGTTCAACAACTATTCAAAAGTGGTGAATTCCCCAAGCTCAATATTATTCTCCTATGACATAACCCACTGTGTGTGCAGGCATCCATGTAAGCTCATGTGTGTCACTTGTGGGACTTGAGGGATATAGGGAACTGGCATAACCCTAAAGCTCTGGCTCCTGCCTCTGCTATGTGTAATAAAAGTCCTTCATCTCTGATCCAGAAATATCATGTCTTCTGCTAATCTCCATGAAACAGTAACAGAATACCTTTCCAACTTGGAAGGAGGATAAAATCCCAGGCCATTCACAGTTCTGGATTGGTCTCAGCTCTAGAGAATTTCCCCAATAGATTTGAGTCAAAGTTGTGTAAGGATGAGCAACATAGATGACAACACATACAGCTATGATTGCCAGTATGATAATGATGAAATTCCTAGGTTAAGACGCACTTCATTGAGTAATCTCAAAATGCTATGCCTTAAAAAAAAGAAAATGCTATGCCTTTTTAATTTTCTTTTTATAGTTTTTGTATCTTTTCCCTTTGGTTTGGTTATCAGCTGTTATTTTCTTTTTTTTTAGTTTTTCACCAGGGCTGGGTTTGAACCTGCCACCTCCCGTATATGGGGCTGGTACTCTACTACTTTGAGCCACAGGCACCGCCCTATCAGCTATTATTTTTTATTGCTGCTATCTGTATACCTCTAGCAGCCTTTCTTTATTTTAATGTTGCTTGTAATCTTCTGTAAAAGAAAAAATCAAATAACCATATTTCTTAAAGTAATTCCCCAACTAAAATGAATGTTGGGGCAATGTTTGCTTATTATCTAATTTTCAGTTATGTTCCAGATAGTCAAGATCAAGTATAGGACCCAAAGTGAGTTGGGTTTTCTTTCTTTCTTTTTTTTTTTTCTGAGACAGAGTTTCACGTTGTCACCCTGGGTGGAGTGCTATGGTGTCACAGCCCACAGCAACCTCAAACTCCTGAGCCCAAGCAATTCTCTTGTCTCAGCCTCCCAAGTAGCTGGTACTATAGGCATCTGTCACAATGCCCAGCTATTTTTTGGCCCAGGCTGGATTCGAACCTGCCAGCTCCTGTGTATGTGGCTGGCACCCTAGCTGCCTGAGCTACAGGCGCCAAGCTGGGTTTTCCTTTTTAATTAATATATTTTTGAAACAAAATATGGATTTATTTATGAAAAACAGTTACTAATAAGACTGCGCGGTGGTGGCTCACGCCTGTAATTGCAGCACTTGGAAGGTCGAGGTGGGTGGATTGCCTGAGCTCATGAGTTCAAGACCAGCCTAAGCAAGAAAAGACCTCATCTCTAAAAAAGAGAGAGCTAAGATGCCACAGCACTCTACTGAGGGTGACAAAGTGAGACTCTGTCTCCCCCCCCCACCAAAAAAAAGAAAGAAAGAAAAAGAAAACAATTACTAATAAAGACAAACAGATGGTTAATTTTTTTTTCTCTTGTGAAGTGTCATGACTAATTTGATTTCTATCTTAAAAGAAATAAACAGATTTGGTTCAGTTCACTTTTTTTTGAGACAGTGTCTCACTTTGTCTCTGAGGCTGGAATAAACCTAGAAGCTGATCCTTCTCTAATGGAGCCTCTAGGTGAGAATTCAACATAGCCAGCATCTTGTTCATAGCCCTGAATGACCCTGAGCACAGGGCCCAGCTAAGCTATGCTCAAATTCCTGATGCACAGAAACTATGAGATAGACCCGGTGCCTGTAGCTCAAGTGGCTAGGGCGTCAGCCACATACACCAGAGCTGGGGGTTCGAATCCAGCCCCGGCCTGCCAAACAATGACAACTACAACCAAAAAATAGCCAGGCGTAGTGGTAGGCACCTGTAATCTCAGCTTCTTGGGAGGCTGAGGCAACACAATCACTTAAGCCCAGGAGTTGGAGGTTGCTATGGGCTATGATGCCACAGCACTCTACCCAGGGCAACAGCTTGAGACTCTGTCTCAAAAAAATAAAAAATAAAATAAAGAAAGAAAGAAACTATGAGATAATAAATATTATGTTTTAAGTCACTAAGATTGTGGCAATTTCTAAGTAGCAAAAGAAAACTAACAAAACACTCTCAGTGAGGCTGGGAGAAAACAGGCACTCTAGTAATGGCTAATGGGAGTGCCAAAAGCTAAAGACCCTGCAGAAGGGAATTTGTCTATATCTGATAATGCACTTCTGCGATTACATGCCCATTGGCTTCTGACCTAGGAACTCCGCTTCCAGGAATTTACTCTGAAGCTATACCACCATAAATTCAAAATACAGCAATGTGTATTCAGGACTTTTTCACTACAGCATTATTTGTAATACCTAAATATTTGGAAGAACCTAGTTGCAAACCCATAGGTGATGTGTTGAATAAATTATGGTATATCTGCACAATTTGTACCCTGGAGTCATGAAAAGAATTAAGAAAATCTCTTGCCAGGCACTGTGGCTCATGCCTATAATCCCAGCACTTGGAGGCCGAGACAGGTAGATTGCCTGAGCTCATAGGTTCAAGACCAGCCTGAGCCAGAACAAAACCTCGTCTCTAAAATAGCCACGTGTTTTGGTCAGCGTCTGTAGTCCGAGCTACTTGGGAGGCTGAGGCAAGAGAATCGCTTGAGCCCAGAAGTTTGAAGTTGCTGTGAGCTATAACACCATGGCACTCTACCAAGGGTGACAAAGTGAGACTCTGTCTCAAAAAAGAAAAAGAATAAAAGAAAATCTCTGGCTCAGTGCAGTGGTTCACATCTATGATCCCAACACTTTGGGAGGTGGAGGTATAGGATGGCTTGAACTTAGGAGTTTGAGATTCCATCTCTATAAAAGAATTTAAAATGTAACCAAGTATGGGCAGCGCCTGTTGCTCAGTGGGTAGGGCGCCGGCCCCATATACCGAGGGTGGGGGTTTCAAACTCAGCCCCAGCTAAACTGCAACAAAAAAATAGCTGGGCGTTGTGGTGGGCGGCTGTGGTCCAGGCTATTCGGGAGGCAGAGGCAGGAGAATTGCCTAAGCCCAGTTGGAAGTTGCTGTGAGCCGTGTGATGCCATGGCAGTCTACTAAGGGCGATAAAGTGAGACTCTTGTCTCGAAAACAAACAAACAAACAAAAAGTAACCAGGAATAGTGCCTATAGGCCCAGCTACTTGGGAGGTTGAGGCTAGCTGCTAGAGGATCACTTGAGCCCAGGTTTAAGGCTGCATTGAGCCTGAGCCACAGAGTAAAGCCTTGTCAAAAGAAGGAAAGAAAGAGAGAGAGGGAGGGAGGGAGGGAAGGAGGAAGGAAGGAAGGAAGGAAGAAAGGATGGATCTCTGAGAAGGAGAAATTCCTAGGATTTAACAAAAAAGCAGAATGAGAGAGTATATGTAGTACCCTTTATGTTGCATAAGAAAGGAATAATACATGTATGCATTTTTTTCACCTTAAAAAGAAAAAGAAGAAACATAGGCTAGGAACAGTGGCTTCAGCCTGTAATCTCAGCACTCTGGGAAGACCACTGGAGCCAGAGTTTGAGGCTGCAGTGAGCTATGATGATGCCACTGCACTCCGTGTGGAGCAACACAAGGAGAGTTGGTCTCAAACAACAAAAAACACTGATTAAATATGAAAGTAAAGAAAAATAGAAAATGGGGTGGCGCAGGCCCCATATTCCGGAGGTGGCAGGTTCAAACCTAGCCCCAGCCAAAAAGAAAGAAAGAAAAATAGAAAATGGGCAGCGCCTGTCGCTCAAGGAGCAAGGCGCCAACCCCATATGCTGGAGGTGGCAGGTTCAAACCCAGCCCTGGCCAAAAAATAACTGTAAAAGAAAAATAGAAAATGGTTACTTATCATTTTCAAATGATAAGAAAATGGTTCCTTATCAACGTAAGGAACAGGATGGGAGGTAGGAATGTGAGACTTCCTTTTTTTTTGTTGAGACAGAGTCTCAAGCTGTTGTCCTGGGCAGAGTGCCACGGCATCACAGCTCACAACAACCTCCTCAAACTCTTGGGTTTAAGTGATTCTCTTGCCTCAGCTTCCCAAGTAGCTGTGACTACAGGCGCCCACCACAATGCCCAGCTATTTTTTTGTTGTAGTTGTCATTGTTGTTTGGCAGGCCCTGGCTGGATTCAAACTCGCCAACTCTGGTATATGTGACCGGCATCCTAGCCACTGAGCTATAGGTGCCGAGCCAAGAATCTGAGACTTCCATGTATATAATTTTTACTTTTAACTAGTAAATGTTTAAAAAGCAAAAATAAAATTCTATTATTAATATGGATGTTGAGGTATTTAGGGGAAACATAACAACACTCTAG